GCATATAGAAGACACAATACATGTTCATTAAATTAAGTTATATAGAGGACTTGTAAGTTTTTCAATAATTATTTCTTTGCTTTATGTCAATTGGGCAGTTCAGATATAATGGTTCCATTATCATCCACTGATAAAAACAGACCATTTATAAAAATGATGGAAGATCTGTTCAGTTTTGTGTTTCTTGTCCTAAGTTTATCTACAAATGCCCTCAGGATAATCTGACTCTTTTCAGTCTTATTTTTTCTCATTAACTACCTTCCACTGTTTAATGAGAAAAGAGTACTGGTTATAATTTTTGATCTGCCATGACTTGCTTTTAATATATTTGTGATGATTTTTAATGACCATCACTCTTCTAAGGTGCTCTGAGCTTAACTATTTTGTAATAAAAAAAAATTTGCTAGAAATTGACATCAAGCTCAGCATCCCGTATTTTGTGGAATCTACCTTCTTCCCTTTTTTTGGAAATTGAGACATCTCTGTCCTCTATTCCTTCATTACCTCTTCCATTCTCCATGAAAGATTAGTGGTTTAGCAGTCATATCTACAAGATTTTCAGTGCCATAGAATACAGTTCTATCCAACCCAATAGCTTTAAGCTAAATGCTCTTATTATCTCATTTATCTTATATTTTAATTTCTTGCTAACCATTTTTGTTTTATTTTCTTTGATCCTCTGATCTGGAGATTATTGCCTTTAATGTTGAAAACAGAAGGAAAGTAGGAATTCAGTAATTCCACATTTCTCTCGGTTATCCGTGATCACCTTTCCAACCATAATAATCATTGAGACTATCCCTTTTTCATTTTCTTTCCATTAAATTTAAATTTGATTTTCAATTTTTGATCAACACCTGTTGTGTATAGAATATTCCTAGTGAGATGCAGAGTTTGGATGAGTCATTGTTAGGATTCTCATGGGGTTTACAGTCCAAGAAGGAAATAGGACTTGTAACCTCTGGCCCATTCCTGAAATTCTGAGCTTATACAAACTAGGTCCATTCTTGGAAGCAATTTAGTAATTACTCCTTTGGCTCAGGTCAGTTTGGTTTGTTTCTAGCTTTTCTGAAGAGACCCTTAGCTCCCATGCGTATATACATCTGGCTTCTGAGGCACAGAACATAAAAAAAGTTAATTCTATACAAGTGCTAGAAGGATTCATACCTAAACCCGTATGCAGGCCAAAAAGCCTTCCCTGCTGTAGGCCCCAGCTCCCATAAGGCACCTTCCTGTTCTGTCACTAGAGGAGTTGCCTTAGAAGGTAATCAGGATTTACTCCCACAGAATCAAAGAGTTAGGATGGACCCCAGGAGCCATTTAGTCCAATCTTTATCTGAACAAAATTCTCTCTACAATGTATCCCTTTACTTTCCCAAGCTAGATTTGAACCACTTCCTTCACTCTCCACCAGGGGAAGAAAGGACTGACTATTGCTAGGGACTCAAGCAGTCAGGCCCTCTGGTGAGCTCTGCTTTTCCCAGGGGCTTAGCTGTTCTTGATTTATAGTAATGTATAGTTGAGTCCCCCAACTAAAGCTAAGGTCTTCCCAAGGAGACTGGGTTTCCAGTTGAGATCAGGGTTGCTCGAGAGTCAGCTCTCCTCCTCAGGACCTGCACAGTCCACGTGATTCATGATACCATTGAAAGGCATGGTCCAGGTTTGTTCTTACATCCTCATCATGTCTCTTTGCCTCATTGCTCCTAGGTTTTGACCCTTCCGTTGGTTCTTGGGTTCACAATTCCCCTCAGCACTAATTTCCCCCATGTTCCCTTTCAGTGCCAGTGAATGTGAAGTTCAGCTTTGTCTTGGTCTCTTAACTCCCTTTGAGACTTGGAAACTCTGCTTGTGGCTGCACTGCACCAGCATATTGCTGTCTTCCCAGCAACTGCTGCTACTGCCATCTACTCATCTACCTCAGGAAAATGTTACAGCTCTTACAATGAGGTTGGACACATTGCCGCATTCCCGATTCTTTTGTTTTAGTCAGGACCCATCTGGTTCACGAAAGAGCCCTTCAGGTAGTTGTGAAGATTTCTGACTTGCGGGGCTCCACCAGTCCTCTCTTCCAGCCAAGCTAAGGTGACTGAATTCCATCATCCCCTTCTTACCTAATTCAGGGTGCAGGCAGTGTGCCCTCCAACAGTCATCCCTACCTGATGACTATTTGGGGATATAGGGAAAAACACTTTCCATTCACCTTTCTGATTTGTCATTCCTTTCATCCCTCCTGCTGACTAGGACTAGGCAATACAAATTTACCCAAGGCTTGGAGAAACCTCCAGAAAACCATAGAAACACTAGGGAGGGAGGGACACAGCTGGTGACTACTAGTCGAAACCTTGCTGCAGAGACAAAGGCATGTGTCCTCCTTAAAGACACAGAGACAAATATAATTCGTAATGCAGGTACAAATGATTGTAACAGTTAACATGAAGGTGGTGCTTTGAGGTTTACAAAACAATTCACTCAAGATAATGCTGCAAGGTACTTAATGGAAGTAATATTATCCCCACTTTGCAGATAAGGAGACTAAGGCTTAGAGAGACTCACCCTGGAGCCCACAGATAAAACATTTCAAAGCTAGGAGTCATCTCTTCTGTACTTTTTCCTACAACTCTGCCCACATTGTTTTTGTTACTTTTTCTTATTTTTGATGGAGGTAAGCTGATATCTGAGCTATTTTCATTTCTTTGATAATCAGTGAAGTTGAACATTTTCAAGTAATAGTTTAACATTTCCTTTTTTTGAAAATTGCTGATATAAATTTAATTCAATTCAACAAATATTTTCTGAGTGCCTACTCCACACAAGACACAAGGTGATGCAAAAAACGAATATGAAATATTTCCTGTCTTCAAGGTGTTTACATTCTACTGGGAGAACATATGCACAAATCAGTAAACAGCATATGAGAAGCAATAAAGCCCTAATGATCACATAACAGTGGATGAAAGAATCAGGATCCAAAAGAATCTTGACAGGCTGTTGACCCCAGTTGGCTGAATCTAGTAAGATGAAATTCATTAGAAATAAATGTAAAATCTTGCATCTTAATACCAAAAACTCCTAAGTACAAGATAGAAGAGATTTGGTTAGACAGCAGTTTTGAAAAGCATCGGGTAGCTTTCTTAGACCTTGAGCCCCACGTGACTTAGCAGTGTGATGAGGCAGCCAAAAATGCTAATGTACTTGGGCTCCATTGTGTAGGGCATAAGTTCCATGAATGGGTAGTTAAGGGGCCCACTATATTCTGCCCTCATAATACTCCATCCAGAGTATTGTGGGTGGCTCTGGGCACCATGATTTAAGGACATGAATAAGCTGGAAGGTGTCCAGAGGAGGGCAGGCAGGACAGTGAAGGGCCTCCAGTCTGTGCTGTATGACCTTTAGTTGAAGGAACTGGGCATGTTTAACCTGAAGGAAATCTTGGAGGGAAATAATGTTTTCAAGTATTGGAAAGGGTATCGTGTGGAGGAGGGATTCGTCTTGCTTCATTTAGCCCCAGAAGACAGAATGAGGAGTGAGAGATGGAAGCTGCACAGAGGCTAATCCAGACTAGAGGTCAGGAGAAATTTCCTAATGGGTTGAGTTGTCCAGGGTGTAAGAGGCTACTTCCACCAGTGTTGGGCTCCCCTTCCTTGGAGGTGTTTATTCAAAGACTGGATGACCACTCATCAGGTACAATATAGGAAGGATTCTTTTCCCACATGGATTAGATAGGCTAGGTCACCACTGAGGTCCCTTCCTATTCTCAGATCTTGTGATTCTGTGATTGGATGAGGCAAGAAAGGTGACATCTTCTGATGGACCTGAGACAAGTGGCTTCACCCTGAAAATTTATATCATCATAGAGATTCCACAGGTTGAGTTTCTAATCTGCTATATTTGCTCTGGAGATTTCCCCCAATCTTTTATTTTTCTTACTTTGGTTGTATTTTTAATTGCATGTTTTACTTTATTTTTATATAATCAAATACATTTGTCATAACTTTAACTTTTTCTTCCATTTGTTCAACGGTTAAGAAATTTACTTCCCTCTACTAATGAGATATTCCTTTTCTACCTTTTTTATGGTTTTTGTTTATGTTTGATTCTTTGATCCAGTTATTTCTTTTTCTCTGGGACTTCAATCCCAGGCTGCAAATATGTAGTCGTGAACATAGGCACTTTCCAGGCAGTCCCTGCCTTTCCTGAGAATGCTAGAAATCTATTTATTTTGCATTCAGAATCTTTTCTGAAATTTTGGCTCAAGGCCCTAGAATTTAAATTCACTCTTGTTTGCTATGTGCATTTGATTATAATTGACCAGTTGTGAATAACTCGAGGTACCCATACATGACCATGGCTCACTGTAGACCTCTAGCTAGGAGTCTCTTTCTGTGGAGGGGCACACACAAAGAAGGCAAGGCCCAGTGGTCATCCACTCAAGCTAACTAGATGCCTTCAGCAGCTCCAGAGGCAAGGGTGTGGAGTAGGGGCAGACCCTGCTGTGTACCAGTGCACTGTGCTAGAAATTGAGGGGGATACAAAGAAGTTTGAGAAGGTGATGACCCACCAGGACTCCTCTCATTGAGAAGATAATATACATAAGACATGTGAAAAGGCAACTAACCACACAAAGTAGTAAACACTAAGTCCCAAATGAGTGGTACACGTAATAAGCATCGTAGGGGTTCAGAGGAGGGAGATAGCACTTGCAGCTATCTCCAGACTCCAGGGCAGTCACTCGGATGATGTGAGAAGAGATGAACCTTGAAAATCAGCAGGATAGCTGATCAGCAGGCAACCTGAGGAACTCAGTATATAAATCTCAGGAAGCTATTTACAAGACTGGGAATGCTGTTGTGTCAGGGACCAGACTAGGCTCTTTGGTTCTATGGGGAAAGCAAGGGGGTATGAAATGGGGGTGGAAGTGGTGGGGGCCAGGAAGGAGGATACAATGTGAGCCAAGGCTGAGTTGAGCCAAGCTACCTAACTTGAATCTTTCTCCCCCCTAGCCTACACCCAGCTGCAGCCACACCAACTCCTTCCACAGTCCCCATCCAAGCACCTGCAACCCCAGTTTGTCATCCAGCAGCAGCAGCAGCAACAGCCACTTCTACAGCAGCAGCAGCAACAGCAGCAGTCCCAGCAGTCCCAACAGTCCCGGCCCCAATCACAGTCCCAATCCCAGCTTACCTCAGCTCTGCCAGGAGTGACCATACAACCCAGCCCTGAAGTTCATGCCATGTCACTAGGCCCAGCAATCCCTGCCCTCCCACTGCAGTATCCTGCTACCAATCAGCACAAACCTGGCAACAGCCAGCAAGGGCAGCCCTCCAGCCCGGAGGCTGGTCCCCAGAATGGACATTCTGAGGGCCCGCTCCACACCCCCCAGCGCAGGTTCCAGCACACGTCAGCTGTCATTCTCCAACTACAGCCTGCTTCACCAGCGGTGAGTTACCCAGGCCCCAAGGTCTGCCCCTCTTTTGGATAGCCACAGCTGAGGCATGTCACACCCAACTTGGCATCCTTCTTCCCAGTGTGGGATGTGATGCTGGCTGAGTGTTTTGAATCTGCCTGGGTATTTCAAGAGCGTCTTAGGTACCATTTATCCAAAGAGGGGCAGGGCAAAGAAAATAACAGATCTTCGTATATACAGCTCCTCTGGATCCACAAAATCTGGATTTCAAAATCCTTGTCAATTTCCCATCCCAAGAGCTGTGTCCCAGTGCTTGTGCTTCCATCTTCAGCAGAATGTTCAAGCATATGGTGGGAGGGATGGGGGCAACTCCTAAAGAGACCATTTCTCCCCTATTCCTTGACAGACCCAACAATGTGGTCCAGATGCCTGGAAGGAGGCAATGCCCAGGGAGAAGAGTCTTCCTGAGACCCTGCCCAGCCCAGCAGCCCAGCAACCAGCAACCCTCACTCCCCCACCTGCTGGTCCACTCCAGCCCACAAGCTCTGATGTTCAGCAGTCTCCAGCACATGGTAGGGGGAGTGGGAGGGCAGGATTCCTTGGGGAGAGGAGACAGTTTTCCTCAGCTGCTTCTTGGACATCTGACGTGGGCACCGAAGTGAGTGGGAAACTGGTAGTCACTGAAAGCACCTAGAAGCAGCAAGGAGACGAGGTGAATAGGATCTGGAGACAGGGAAAAACAGAAAGAGGTAACTGGGGGGAAAGGGGAGTGTCTAGTTAATTCAAAAGAAAGGAGGCTGAAGAAGC